AATCGGGGCATCTTTATCTTCTCTTCGCACTCGAATTATACATTAAAAGTCGGGGTAAGAATCTCTTGAACAATATAACACGTTTTCACTTAACTACGAAATACGAAGTACGAAACAGAGAGGGATAAGGAGAAAGGACAAAAGAGAAAGCCTATTCAAATTGTACAAAAATTGTACAACAAAAACTCAAAGTCCTACAGTTACAGTTACAGTTACAGACACAGATATGGATATAGATCAATCAATTAATCATATCATATCATATCGCGATGTATTCTTCTAATATTTAATTATTTAGATGGAGTTGCAGTTGTTGTTGTTGTTGCTGTTGTTGTTGTTGTTGTTGTTGGTGTTGTTAGTGTTGTTGGTGTTGGTGTTGATGTTGGAGCGCTGGCTCAGCCCTCGACCATACGCTCTGATCCCGACCCCGAATCGCACTGTTCGATGACCAAACGGGCAATGCGCTTGATCTCACAGTAGGGGCTCTCATGCTCGATCAGCTCGTTCAGGATCTGTATGCCATTCTCCTGCTCCACCAGCTGGCAATATTTCTCGGGATAAACCTATGGCAGGCAGAAGGCAGAAGGTAGAAGGCAGAAGTCAGGGGTGGTATAATCATCCTATTTTCCAAACACTCACCTGTGTCAGATTTGCCAATGCCCAGACGGCCCAGTGCTGGCATTGCGGCGTCTCATAGCAGCGCACCAGACTGAGTATGGGCTCAAAGCTGCGATAGTTGATATTCCGTTCACTCTTGATATTCCATCGTTCAATGGCTGCCACCATGCGTTGCAGCACATGCTCCCGGCTGGGCGATTTGATGGTCCAGGCATTGGCCCCATCGGATGCAATGTGCGCGAGCACACCAGCCGCATTGTAGCTGACCTGGAAGCGCAGGTTAGCACGGTTAACATTACCATTCTCTAGTCGCCCTCGTCTCGCAATCGCATTCGCTCGACCCACCTCGATGCCATCACTCAAGGAGTCCAGCAGACGGGCGAACACCGCTATGAATTCCTGTGTCATCAGCTTGGGGCGCAGCCATTTGACCTCTGCCACATTGCCCAGCAGCCCCATCATGTTACGCAGCAGCTCATCGCGATCGGGAAAGGTCTGAGAGCGCAGAAGATGCAGGATTTAGGATTTCTCAATGCTTTGTGGATGGTGGATGGCTTTGCTCACGTGTAAACATTTAAGGAAATACTCCATGCCGCGTCCATCGAGGAATCTCTTACAATTAATAGCAGTCTCATCGGTTACATTCCACATGGTGGACCAGGCCACCTCCATGACATCATCGAATACGGAGCGAGTGAGGCGATCCTTGATCAGCGTCAGCATGGTCTATATGCAATATCAATGATTAATACAGTCTCTGCCTCCCTCCATCCATTGCAACTTCAAGAACTCACATTAACTACACCCAATTCGCCCAGGAAGAGCTTCTGTCGTCCATCCACCTGGCAGGCCAGAGTGTTCAGCAAATAGATGGCAATACGCTGAACGAATCCCTCCTGCTCTGTCTCCGACACCCCGTGCAGCAGTATCTTAATCAGACGTTCGTACTCAAACAGCTATTCAAACGAAAAAGCAGAGAACAATCAATCAATTGGCAGGGAAAGCAGCAAGATGTCTTTCGATTTCGGTTCTTACCACATCGGCTGGCATGTGGAACTGTGTGAGAGTCAGATATCCATTCCGCAGCATTGTATCGTCCGTGTGATGCATTTCCATGCCATTGAGCAGCGTGCGTATGATGTGGTTGCGCAGCAAAGTGCCAAACTTTGAGCGCTCCCTGCCCTTAACGATGTAGAACAGTGTGGCACTGCAAAAGGAACAAGCAAAAAGAAAACGTATCATTAGCCTCCCAATTGTGAAAGGCAAGGGCAAGGGCAAAGGCAATCTTACCTCCCAGAGATTTGCATGTGCTTGAACTTTAGATGCCGATCCATGGCTGAGAGCACAGCATCCAGTGCTGTGTGTATGTCCTTGCAGTTCTCAAATCGAAACAGATGGTACAGATCGTTGAGTACCTAAACAGAAAAGGAAGACAAATCAATGAGGGATTCATGAGCTTCACAGAAACCTGTCTCTTCGTCTGTTCGTACCCTTGTCAGGAGGACGGGTCTGTCGTGGTAGTAACGAGCTGCTGTTAGTATTTGCTGCTCATTGGTATCGCCAGCCACCTCGAGTGCGGGTATATCGTGGCGCTTGCATGCCCAGTGGGCCGTATGGTAGAGCCCGAGGAACTGCAGCGGTCGTTGGGTGCGGGACGCCAGGCCTGGTATGTCCGTGAGGGCAAAGTGCTGCTGTTCCATTTTCGTATTGGCATTGGCATTCGTGGACTCCTTGGTGGCCACCCCGTTGCCGGCTAAATTCGTGCCTGAGATATCCAGGTGTGTCAGATGGCGCAGATTATCCATTAGCATTTCCAGCGTCTGATCGGGCAGATCGTAGGTGCCGTGGCCATTACCCGAGCTGGATATGGAGATGTCGAGCGTGCACAGGCGTCGCAGGCAGCAGATGGCATGCAGTTGATTGGCGATCGGCCACACATTGAACAGGATCAGGGTGTGGAGGTTCGGTAGCATTACCAACGCCTCCAAGCTGAAGTTGGCCAGCACACAGGAGGTGAGGTCCAGATGCCCCAGGTCATGCAGATGGGCGAACTGCAGACGATGGTGCATCACCACGCCGTTGAGGACGAGACGCCGCAGATGCGGACATGTCAGCTGAAAGTCCACCGGCTCCTTCTCATTCGGCTCGGCATACTGCAGCAGATGGGAGCTAATGCCCAGCTCCAAGGAGCGCAAGCTGTCGCCATAGTGGGCCAGCAGGTGATGCGAGTTCACGGTGATCATGTCGCAATACCACATGGACAGGGCAAACAGTTTGTGGCGCATCAGAGTCTCCAATCCTACAATAAAAAACAAAACAAACAAATCATTTACGGAAAGGCGATGATCACCATTTAAAGTCTTTACCCCTGCTGCTGAGTGTGCTGTTGCGTAGATTAACAATCTTCAGCGATGTGCGCTGTGTGTCTTCGAATAGCTTTATGACATTATCGTCCAGGGGCCTGTTGAACCTCTGATAGTTCTCCAGAAAGCCATCGCATATCTCATTGGGCAGCACAATGCCGGCATTCAGCAGACGTTGATTGTTGTCCGGCCGACAGCTGCTGATGATGTCCAGATTGTTGCACAGCTTCTGGTAGGCAATCTCCTTCAGTGTCAGCGGCTCCTCGTCCAGTGAGCCGTCCTCCATCAATCGCACCTTACAGCTCATCTTGGGCACGATTTGTTTGCTATCCGCCAGTGACTCAATGGTGTGTGTCTAATGGTAAATGAAAGTATCTATGATTCATCAAAGAACGTTCTATTCTGTTCTTCCGAGGGGTAGATTGGGTTCGGTTGGGTTTCGCCATCGATGGAAATCGAGAATAGCATTCAATTCAAGTCAAGGCTTTCCCCCCGCTCCCAAATGGCACGACACGTGCGTGGGGGCGTGCGGGGTGTCCCCTAATCTGTGCTCAAATGTTCGGATGTCCGATAGCAACAACAATTACATAACAAACAATTAAAAGCCCACAAGTGTGAGTGCGGTGTGGTGCTGTCTTAGAGTGTGTTCTAATGCAGGACAAAGTCGGGACTCAATCCATTGATTGTCTCGCCTTGTCTGGGGGCCTATGCCTCAACGGGGCTAAGCTTTGGGTTAAAGTCTGCTGCCGCAGCAGCCACAGAACCCGCGCCAAGTCAAGCGGAAGCAGGCGGAAAATCTGTATATATTTATGAGGCGAGCATTCGCTGATTCGAGCTTTACGGATCACCTCAAATGCCAACAAACTATTACTTGCGAGCGTCGTGTTGTGTCGTTTGTCGTATGTCGTGGTGTCTCTGTGTAGGTGCGTAGTAGTTATTGAAAAAACGCTTGCAAGCGCCAGCGAGCGACAGACACTCTGTCTGGCCTTATCGCGTTTTTGTACAGGGACAGGGGGCGACAGTCCTCCTAGTAGCAGCAACAGCAGCAGTCACTAGTCAATCACTAGTCCCGTCCCCACAACAGCTGAAAGGGTCCGAGAATGTGCAGCAGCGCAGCTTTTTGGGGGGGGATCAGATCATCATCACAACTTTATGTACCTTTTTCTTGTCAGCCAGCAAAATACCTCGCTCCTATTGCGATGCGCTCGAGTTTGTCTTTCGTTTTAATATTGGTTCGAACTGTCCTGCGTTGCATGCGTAGCACTAATTGCCTAGGCACAGCACTTAAGTTGCGCCAACAATTGTATTTGCTGCGTTTTTCGACGTCAAATCACTTCATTATTATTTTTTTGATTTCTATTTTCTTTGTACGAGTTCTAGGCAGTGTGACCGCGGGCTCCTCGATCAAATATACTTTCTGACCCTCAGAAATATACCGAAATATACTTTCACCTTTTCAAAATATTCCGAAAATATACTGACGAATTTGAGTTATTTTAAACGTGTTCCTCGTTTTTCATATTCCGTCGAATATTACTAGCTAGATAGAACCCTCAGCCCTGATAAATACATTTTCTACCAGATTAGCTACTTTTAAGAACCAATTTGTATTGTATTGTGGAATGTCACGTCATTTCTTACTTGTATCTTGTCAACCGTTTTCGGAAGTCCCGCCAAACTTGAGCGCCAAAGTTGAATTTTTTGAAAGTGAATGAGTGACTAGGATTTATATGCTATCAAGTGGTGCTCGGAAACCCGATTTGTGATAGCGAAAATTCCACAAACCTGCGATGGAAGTTTCTATACCATTTTTTCTTAAATATACCTTTTAAAATTAAGTTTAATAGATGAAATGGATCGAATATATCATTATATCGTAAAGATACCGTCGTCTCAAGTTTGACCTCGAAAAATACCGAAAAGTATTAAAAATAACGTAAGCTCAATCCGGTTCTGGGCAAGGTCACAAGGACTCCGTCGCGCCAACTTTACAACCATTGACATTTAAAAAAGCCATCGTTTAATGGGTAACTAGACTTTATTTTATTGTAAGTTAAGCGCTGAAATAATCAAATGTACACGCAAAAATTTTTTAGTTTTCCGCTTCAGTGTCTGTGTCAGTTTGTGTGTGTGTGTGTCTGTGTGCTGGAGGGGAAAGCATGCGCCTCGATAACACACAAAAAACGACTATTCCTATTGCTTTCTCTCGGGGGACTACTAATTCTTTAAATCTAAATCACTGCGTTGCAGAAACATCTCATTATATTCATAATCTGGGTGGTCCTGGCGATAGGACAACGGCAACCAATTAACAACTCTCGTGCCGGGGCTCACATAATAAATAAACTTGCATTTAAGTTCTAAGTAAAAAAATGACAGAATTAAGGTCAGAAGAATGCTATAACCTAAATTAGAATCGAAGCGTCCCTCTCAATCTCAGCCAGACAAATCGCCCTGGTCGAAGACACCCTGATCGTACAGCTCGGCGACAACCCGCCGTCCGCCAAAGAATCGTCCGTGCAGGGCCTCCTTGCCGCGTTGCGCCTCGGCTCCGGCAGAGAACTCGACGAAGATTTTCACTATGATCTCGGCCTCGTCGTCGTCCTCGTTCTCCGTCTGCTTCTCGTTGAAGATGATGACGCGGCTGACGGTGCCGAATTTGCTGCACTCCTCTTGGATCTCCTCCTGCAGGGTCTCGTCCACGTCCTCGGGGCCCACCATGTTGCGCAGGATTATGACACGCGAGTCCGTTGGCCTCATCAGCCGCTGCATGACCAGCTGGCGGGCACTCTGGCCCTTGATGGACATGTTCTCCTGCTGCTGCAGCGTCTGCACATCGCCCTCGTCCATCAGCTTCTTCTGCAGCTCCTCCTGCTGCTTCTCGTGGGCCTTCTTGATGTTCTCTGAGAGATTGGCGGCGGTGGCCGCTGCATTATTGGCAGCCGCCGACACGGCAATGGCCACCGAAGCTCCGTTGGTGGCCTCGACGCTGGCCAAGGACGGGGCGGCCACCGTGGGAAGCACACCCACGCCCATGCCAACGCCCACTCCTCCCACACCCAGTCCGGTTCCGGGCAGAGGCAGTGTGGGCGTGGCCAGCAGAGCAGGCGGCGGCAGTGACGGAACGACGGCCTGCAGAGGCTGGAGTCCCGCGGGCACGCCCAGGAGACTGGGCGTCACTGGGGTCGGAGCCTGGAAGATTCCAGGAGGAAGCAGAGCCGCCACGGGAGCGGCTGGCATGGCCAAGCCCGGATTGAGGGCAGCCGCCGATGTGGCAGCATTCACCAGAGGCATGTTGCCCACCTTCGTGACCACTGCCCCGGCAGCCATTCCGAGGTTTGTTGGGTGCTGCGAGAGACCCAGCACGGCATTGCTGGCCACCGCATCCAAGGCCTGGATCTTGGCCGTTGCAGCGGCTGCCGCCACCGCCGCAGCCGTGGGCATGGTCGAATTTGTTGTGGGACAGGCCAGGGCATTGGGCGGTGTAATGGAGCGACCCACTCTGCAAGACGAATAGAGATTGGAGATTAGATATACATTTAAAACGGAGGTGCAACTGCAAGTGCGAACTCACCGGAGCAACTGTCCGCCCAAATCGAAAAGATTCATGCTGGCAATGGCCTCGTCCATGGCCTGTTTGTTGGCATACTCGATGAAGCCGTAGCCCTTGTGCGTGTGCAGCGACGTGCCCTGTGCCAGTTTGCAGTAGAGGATGGGTCCGAAGGCCTCGAACACGCTCTTGATATCCTCCTCGGACAGATCCGGATGGATGGAGGCCACGTAGATGCGGTTAAAGCTCTTTGCCTCCTCCTGCACCTCATCGATGACCTGTTGGGCCTGTGGCATGTTGCTCGGGCGCCCCACCTTGATGTTGCGGCCACCCATTAGGGCGCCATTCATCTGTTCGAGGGCCAGCTGGGCTCCCTCGGGTATTTCGTACTCTACGAACGCGAATCCCTTGTGCTTCTGTGTGATGGGATCCCAGGACATGTTGATGGACTTGATGGGACCGAAGGGGGTGAATGCCACGCGAATAGTGTCCTCTTTGAGCTCAAACGATATGCTGCCGACGTATACTCTGGAATGGAAGGGCATTTCGAGTTAATAGGTTTCTTGGAGGTGTCAAAGCGCAGGCACATCGGACTGCAATCAGATCTTATCAGCTAAGAGAGCGCACACTTAATGACTGCCGCCCGGGCGACTGCCTTCAGTAACTCGAAGCCACAGCCATGGGAAGAGACACCATTTCACAACTCATTTTCAAATGTTTTACATCACATTACAATTTGTATTTGGCGAGTAAGTGCCGTGGGATGCACGGATCTACTGAGCTACTAACCTGCACATCAATGCCAATGCCTGTTGGCGTTGGACTTGGGTGCGTTGCGTGGCCAATTGCTGCTGCTGGTGGGCCAGTGTCTGCTTCATGAGCACCATCTTGATGCTCTGCTCCATGGCATATTTCTTGGCCTTGCTGACCAGGTCATGCTGCTCCGACGTGAGCTTCGGCAGGGCCCCGCCCAGCAGACCCAGCAGGGCGGAGCGTGTCCCGGGCCCAAACTTAACATCGCCCGTCTGCTTCAGGTCATACAGAGGCTGCGAAAGGTAGGGAATTTTCGAATCCGTGGACTTGCCTAGAATTGGACAGACCGATTAGTGCATCTCATACAGAGAGGGGGGATGGGGTATGGGGGGGATTTTCAGTTCAGTTTTCAGTTTCATCATCATGGATCACATCATCTGCTATGCAATTTGTTCTTTTTAGTTTTAGTTTTAGCTTTAGTTTTCTTTTCTTTTTTGATTCTGTTCGGGGTTTTTGTCTGTTTTTTTTTTGTTTTTTGTGTTTTTATTATTGTTTTTTGTTTTCCAAAGGCACAACTCGGTGGCAAACAACAGTTGGAACAACGAAAGTGCATTTTGTCAAGAGTTTGCGTTTGAAATTGTTTGGAAATAAAGACAAAAACTGCCTGCTGCCTGCAAGAAAGATGAAGACAAAAAAAGAAGAAAAAAAAATAAGAAAGAAAATTGTTAATAATTATAGAGAGAGAGACAGAGTGGATGTGGGCATGGCATGGCATGGCTGCTGGAGAGGATTTTTGTTTTGTTTTTTTTCTGATTTCTGAGGAGGCTGGAGATTCATTCAGCTTGAGCGGATTTTGAAGCCATATATGGGGCCATGCTTTCGATTCGATTGAACGACTGTAATCGGTGTGTGCTATCGTTATCGTTGCTGAGTACAGTTACTTAGGGTACATTAAATGACATTTCGTGTGCACGGATCGATTCGATCCAGTGAGCGCAGCGTCACTTTTGCCTCACTTTCTCGCTTGGTTTGGAGATGTATGGAGTTTCGGTTCGATTTCATATCTTATCTATTTCATATCGATTTCGATTCTATCGCTTATCGCTTATCGTTTACCGGTAATCGTTTATCGGGCAGATGGGGGGCATGTGTTTTTGTCATTTATTTGTGTTAGGGCTGGAAAATGCAAGAATAAAAAAGAGAGAAAGCACCCGATCAAATAAAACATATTCGCTAGGCTTATCGATAGGCAGATAGGTAGGTATTCAGATTGATATACGTAATAGAAGTACAAGTAGTAGTAGTAGTGCTGGAGGGATAGATAGATTGTACGTGTGTGTGTGTGGGGGCGTGTGTACATTTACATCAAATAGATATACAATATGCATGTAGATATATCGATTATCAAGTCCACACACATCCGATTTTGCAATATATCCGATAGTTGTTCGATTGATTTCGATTGCTGTCAATCGATACAAATCGATACAAATATACCATAACAAGAGCTGGGCATACGGAACCAGCGAAAATCCCCATCCTCCCGCGATGATTAGAGCAAGGAAAATCGCACACAAAACGGTAGGGAGCCGGCGCCAGGACCAGGACCAGGGCCAGGGATATGGGGATTTTCGGCCCAAATTCACGTGTGCTCAGCTCTGGGTGGGAGGAAATATTTTTTATAAAAATTAGAAATTATAAGCGACCTTATGTGCGTTTTTTGCGATACGGTTTCCATGAGTTGGGGGGCGTGGTAATTGACTTGAAGAAGAGGGTCACACATTTATACATTGCTCATTTGTGATAAAAAAGAGAAAAATAAAAAAAGAAAACAAGACGCTGAAACGATAATAAGAGCAACAATATGTTTTTAAGTTGGTTAAGTTTTCTGCTCCGCCCTACCTCAAATAATCATCATTATAATCATCATCATTATCATCATCATCACCATCATCATCCTTATCATACTGTGTGCTTTGATTAATTCTTTAGTCTGATCTTTAGTTAATTGTTGTTCAAGGGATATGCTTTTATCTAGGGATAGGCTGCTGTGTGGCCCAAAAAAGGAGTCACTCTGATTCAGGCGAATAAAGGACTTGTTATCGTGGATCGTGCGGATCATCGTGTGATGGATGAGGGGGGGTGTATGGAATCCAAACTGATTCCCATTCCCCCGAAGATACATATGATATGCATGTATAAAAGGATAACGACGGACAATGCTATGGTGTACTCCTCTTGCTCTAGCGTTCTATAAACAACTATCTATCTATCTATCTATCTCTATCGATATATATGACGAAACACACACAAAATACTTGGTACTTAATGTAAAATGTATATGGCACAGAGGACCAGGAGCAGTCAGAGTCCCTCGGCTGGCTGGCTGGCTGTCTAGCAGGGCAGCTGCTAACCACGACGACGGCTGGCTTGGCTTGTTGTTTTGTTAGAAGAAGCGGAGGATTCTTGGTTGAATACTTGAATTAATGCGTGGATCAATTGCGTATTGGTTCGCGCGTGATGATGTTTCTGGCTTGGGCTGTTTGTGGCTGATTTTTGGTGGTGGTGGTTGGTGGTAGTAGTAGTAGTAGTAGTAGTAGTAGTAGTGGAGTTATCTAATTGGACATCTCTCTCTCGATCTCGTATACCCGGTTATATGGAACTTTTATATGTCTTATATATGGCGGAACACAAACTTAAAAAGAGATAAAAACGCTTACAGAAAATAAAAAAGAGAGATATAGAAGAAAGAGAAAGAGAGAGATATAGTTATATATGGTATGCTGCATATTTTGGAGTTTGATTTTATTTGTATTTTTTTTTATTAGTTCTGGAGTTTCATTCTGCATTCACGGCGATGATATTCCCTATTCTGATATTCAGTTTCAGTTTTAGATTGCATATATCTACTGATCGATAGATATATATATACATAGTATATTTAGCATATACTCTTGGGTCGCTTGCAATTTGCTTTGGGGATCGGTTCGGTTCGGTTCGGATCGGATCGCATTGTCTGACACACACACTTGATTGATACGTTTTCGCTATAGTTTTTCGACTCTCACCTCACCTCACACCTCACTTGAGTGTTCGAGTTCATCGTGCGTTTATGAAGTCTGCAATTACTTAAGCAGAACAAAAGAAAAACCGATTATTTAGTGGCGTCAGGTGCTGCCCGTAAAGATGCGACGGAGTAGAAGTACAAGTAGTAGAGAAATATATATAGAGATGTGTGTTTTACAAAATATGTTTTTTGTTTTGTTTTATGCTTAGGAGAAACCAAAATACAATTACAATTTAGCCGCCTCTTCAGTTTCAGTCTTCTTTAACCCACGATTTACCAAATGAACTTATAGATTATTATCCATACACAAACATATGTAAATATATGTATATATAAGAGTACATACACACACACAGAGAGAGAGAGCATATGCCTATATGCCTTAGGGGGAGGGGGGCGCTTGCTTTGCTTTGCTTTGATTTGATTTGATTTGATTTGTTTCCATTTCTAACATAGTACATGCTGAATATAATACATACGTGTACGTATACATATACATAGGAGAAGGCATACATATATATATCTCTGTTGTGGATCTGTTGTAGATCCATGCCGGACAAGACACTTACCCGAGTCGGAGCGCGTTCGCTTTGTGGCTGGCATCTCCGTAATTTCGCGCTGATCATCCGAACGTGGGGATCTGGAGGCTCTGTCGTTGCTGCCCTGTAATGTGAAAAATGGGATTGATGATGGGTTTAATAATGGTTAAATTGCTATATTGCTATATGCTCCTGCTACTCCCCGTGCCCATGCATGAGGCGGGCCTTGCGGCCCATGAGGCGGTGCGGCGGCGGGTATGCGCGTGGCCTATGGATACACACACTGCCTGCCGTACGGTACTATGACGTCGGCGTCCCCTGTGCACCATACATGCCATTATTGGCAAGGTCATGCAGCTGCACATTCCACATATGATATGCCCCAACACACAAGATGTCCACCGGGTACATTATTTCATGCATACACCATTTCCATTTCACCCTACATCGCAAAAAAAAAATCGAGTCGGACCGAAAAAAAAATGCGCAAAATCTACAGCCTGCAAGGCACGCGACGCCAATAATTGCCCCAAAAAGTATTCCCTCACGTTTACTGCACTCGAAATTTGCCGGAGCTTACCATGCTTTCGATTTTTCGCTAATAATATTCGCAAGTTACGGTTTATTTGTTGATTTTTGTCGAAATAAAAATTGACTTTGCGAAAAAATTGTCAAGATGGATACGATCAGTGTGACCGCAGACGTATCGATAACGTATATGACCCTCTGAAATATACCAAGATATACCGTCTCATTTGAAAAATATACCATAAATATACTGACGAGCTAAAGTTATTTTTTACATATTGCTCGTTTTTGCTATTCCGTGGAATATTACTAGATATATAGAACGCTTAGCTATGCCCACATAATCAATTTTCTACCTAACTGATTTCCGTTGGATATACCGTTGAATATGAAATTTAATAGATTGATGAAATTGACAAAATATACCTTTATATACCGTAAATATACCATCAGTTCAATTTTGACCTCAAAAAATACCACCTGGCGCCTGAAGCGACCTGAAATGCTAATTTTGCCTGAAGCAACTGCGTTGTTACCGTGTAGTTGCCATGTAACAAACATTTAATTTGCCAATCTTGTAGAAAATCGATTCATCAATCAATTTTATTTATGTCTTTCATTATCAGAATTGGGTTAGGTTAGGTTCGTTGTTTTCATCGGTATATTTACGGTATATTTCGCTCATAGCGCAACGAAAAAATTAGTCGTCATTTTGAATGGGCTATAAAAAAGGGTGTGGAAAACTGGCAAAAACAGCCAATGAATTGCAATGACAATATCCTTGCCCAAGGTATATTGAGCAAATATATACAGTCTTTTTCCCTTCCATTAGTAACGAGTAAAGTGTGGCCAATGTGTATTTGTAGATGTACCATTGCGATGGGAACTCGCTGCTGTTGCGGTGCGAAATGTCAATAACAAGTTTCTGGTAAATCATCTCGCTTCTCGCTGTGAATTCGACCGATTTTAGCCGCCGAAAAAGCCACCAGCCGCTAAAATTGGAGTAAAAATTAAACTTTTTTGTGCTAAGAATAACTTAAAACTGCAAGATGCCGCGTATTATGATCAAGGGCGGCGTGTGGCGCAACACGGAGGTAAGTTGGACGTGTTTCTTGGAATTCTTTTCACTGTTTTCCATGTGTTCTGGCAGGATGAGATTCTCAAGGCGGCTGTCATGAAATATGGCAAGAACCAATGGAGTCGTATTGCCTCGCTGCTGCATCGCAAGTCGGCCAAACAGTGCAAGGCCAGGTGGTACGAGTGGCTGGATCCCAGCATCAAGAAAACCGAATGGTCACGCGAGGAAGACGAAAAGCTGCTGCATCTGGCCAAGCTGATGCCCACACAGTGGCGCACCATTGCGCCCATTATTGGACGCACTGCGGCCCAGTGTCTGGAGCGCTACGAGTTTTTGCTGTAAGTCTACTTGTTGCTAAGTAAGTTCTGCTCCAGATTTATCTCATTATTTGGTTGATTTAGCGACCAAGCACAGCGCAAGGAGGATGGCGAGGACACCATGGACGATCCGCGCAAACTAAAGCCGGGCGAAATAGATCCCAATCCAGAGACAAAGCCGGCGCGGCCCGATCCCAAAGACATGGACGAGGACGAGCTGGAAATGCTGTCCGAGGCTCGGGCCCGTCTGGCTAACACCCAGGGCAAGAAGGCCAAGCGCAAGGCTCGCGAGAAGCAGCTGGAGGAGGCCCGCCGCCTGGCCACGCTCCAGAAGAGGCGCGAGCTGCGCGCCGCTGGCATCGGAAGTGGCAACCGAAAACGCATCAAGGGCATCGACTACAACGCAGAGATTCCCTTCGAGAAGCGACCGGCGCTTGGATTTTACGATACGGCAGAGGAGCATCTCCAGAAGAACGAGCCGGACTTCAACAAGATGCGGCAGCAGGACCTCGACGGAGAGCTGCGCTCGGAGAAAGAGGAGCGCGAGCGGAAGAAGGACAAATCGAAGCTAAAGCAGCGCAAGGAGAACGAGGTGCCCACCGCGATGCTGCAGAACATGGAGCCGGAGCGCAAGCGTTCCAAACTGGTGCTGCCCACTCCCCAGATCTCCGACATGGAGCTGCAGCAGGTGGTCAAGCTGGGCCGAGCCAGTGAGATGGCCAAGGAGATAGCGGGCGAGAGTGGCATCGAGACGACAGATGCCCTCCTGGCGGACTACTCCATCACACCACAAGTGGCGGCCACGCCCAGGACTCCGGCTCCCTACACCGACCGCATCATGCAGGAAGCCCAGAACATGATGGCTCTGACCCACACAGAAACCCCGCTCAAGGGTGGCCTAAACACGCCACTCCACGAATCGGACTTTTCCGGGGTCCTGCCCAAGGCTGCCTCCATAGCCACGCCCAACACGGTTATCGCCACGCCCTTTCGCACTCAACGCGAGGGCGGAGGAGCTGCCACACCAGGTAGCTTCCTCACCCCGTCCTCGGGGGCTCTGGTGCCGGTGAAACCCGGTGTCCCGGGAGTCCCCACACCGGCCTATGTCCGGGACAAGCTGAGCATCAACCCCGAGGAGAGCATGGGCGTGACCGAGACGCCGGCTCTCTTCAAGAACTACCAGAAGCAACTGAAGTCCACCCTGCGGGAGGGACTCTCCACCCTGCCGACCCCGCGCAACGACTACGAGATTGTCGTCCCCGAGCAGGAGGACAGCGAGGCCATGGACACAAGCACAGAGCCCGCCATTGAGGACCAGGCCGATGTCGACGCCCGCCTCCTGGCCGAACAGGAGGCGAAGCGGAAGCGCGAGCTCGAGAAGCGCTCCCAGGTAATCCAGCGCAGCCTGCCCCGACCAACGGAGGTCAACACCAAGATCCTGCGACCGCAGTCGGAGAAGCAGAACCTCACCGAGCAGCAGCAGGCCGAGGAACTGATCAAGCACGAGATGATCACCATGCAGCGTACGTGAAGAGTCTGCTTAGATTTATCCACAGACATTGTAATTCTCATCTTGTCTCTTTTTGCAGTGTACGACTCTGTCAAGGATCCTGTGCCGGGTCAGTCGCAGCACAAGCTGGAGCAGCTGCAGAGCTACTTCAAGGCGAACCCGTACGAGGAGATCTCCCAGCAGGAACTGGCAAGGGCCAAGAAAATGCTCTGCGACGAGATGGAGGTGGTCAAGGAGCGCATGTCACATGGCGAGCTGCCCCTGAATGTGTACGCCCAGGTGTGGCAGGAGTGCCTGGGACAGGTCCTCTACTTACCCTCCCAGCACCGCTACACGCGTGCGAGTCTGGCGAGCAAGAAGGATCGCCTCGAGTCGGCGGAGAAGCGACTCGAACAGAACCGTCGCCACATGGGCAAGGAGGCCAAGCGCTGCGGCAAGATTGAGAAGAAGCTGAAGATCCTAACCGGCGGCTACCAGGCCCGCGCCCAGGTGCTCATCAAGCAGCTGCACGACACCTACTCCCAGATTGACCTAAACTCGATTTCACTGTCCACATTCCGCTTCCTCGGCGAGCAAGAGGCCATTGCCGTTCCGCGGCGCCTGGAATCGCTGCAGGACGATGTGCGACGACAAATGGACCGCGAGAAGGAGCTGCAGCAGAAGTACGCCAGCCTAATCGAGGAGCGGGACTCGCTGTACAACGAAATCGAGCAGATCACAGGAGTGAGGCCAACCGCACAACAGCTCCTGGGCCCCGAACATGAATTAGAGGGAGAAGCCCATTGAAAATCTTATTTAATTTTGTTTACAACTCTCAAATATACAACGTGTTTGACCCAACGCGAGCGAGTTCCAGTTCTTTTGCAGTGTGCAGTTTGCAGTGCGCAGCTTGCAGCTTGCATCTTGCAGCTTGTAGCTTGCAGCTTGGTTTAGTGGCCGTATTTCTGGTAGACCCACTTCTTGTTGTCCAGGGGGCAAACCAGACGCGTCTTCAGCCAGCGAGCGATGCAATGGTAGTGGAAGGCGTGGTTGCACTCGCCCCAGGCCACGGTGCACTCGTCCTTGTTGGCATTGGGATCCGCCTGGCACTCGATGCACAGGTTCATGATGTGGTTGCGGCAGATCGCGCAGTTGTCCACGGTCACGTCCCAGGACCAGAGAGCATGAGCCACCCACTTGTTAACCACGAACCGGTCCTTCCTGTACTGCTGCGTGCCGCTGCATGAGGGCACGTCGTCATTTAACTCTTCTAAGTCACGGAAGTCCGTAGATTCTTCTACGTCTTCCAGCTGATCGGTCATGTTTCAAATTTAATTTCGATTTAACTATTTTCAAAAAAGACAAATTTCAAATGTGTTTCGGTTTTTTTTATTCCAGAAAATATGTGTTCAGTGTCGACAAAGACTCGGAAGTGAATGAGAATTGTGGACCGTATCGATTCAAGGGAAATGTTATGGAAAACATGGCCTACTTTTCAAGGCTTTTCAAGGCTGTCAGTCGCTTGCCAGCCTATCTGCTCTTTGTCGCAGCCTCCTAGGCCATACGGCAAAAAATCCTTTGGAGTCTTGGCGATGCTGTCCACATTCCACATAGCCTGCGCCTTCAGGATCTGCACGGATGTAAGCAATAATAATAATCGAACTGAAATAAGTAATCCATTAGTTTGTTCTTTCAGGTCTCAGCATTTTCTCTGCTGGATGGTAAGCAAGGACCTATACAAAGGATTCTCTGGAGTAAACTCTCCTCTCAGCCAGCGCAGTAGGAAGTAATCATCGTGGGTTTCGTCGAGACAATCGTCCATCTGCTTGCGCAATTGCAACTGGAGGAAACGTTAGGAGGATCAGGAGTCCGGCCTCATACAGGATGTCATTGCATGTAATCTTATTTGTAATTCTGCTGGTGTCAAAAAGTCCTTTTGATCAAAATAAAAACTTTATCAACAATTTTTGCTTTGTTTCTTTCCTGGGAAATCTGGGGAAAAATATCCTTGATCCTTGAAAAAGGACTTCATGAAAGATCACAAAGGGGCCCCCAAATAGCCAATAAACCGAAATATTTGTGACTGGGAAAAATATCCTTGATCCTTGAAAAGGACTCCATCAAATCAAGGATGTTCCCCCGATCACAGTAAGACATAGCACCCCCAGATCGGTCCACAAATAGCCGAGAAAACTAAATAAGTATAGCTGGGGATGACGAAGTCCTTATGCAAGGATCAAGGATATTTTTCCGATTGAAGGAAGCCATCGCACGTCCCGGGCCATCCCCAAATAACTGAGAAAACAAGATATATATGACTAGAGGAGATATCCTTGATCCCTGATCCTTGATAAGGACTCCATAAAATCAAGGATTTTCTTCCGGTCACAGGAAGTCGTCGCTCGCCGGGATCGGTCCACAAATAAAGGAGCTGTGGGTACAACAACAACCCTCAAATTGCGTCCGCGGAAATGGCCAAAAACGAGAATTTCAGACCTGGGATACCAGGCGAACAGAAATCAGCAGAAGGTAGCTGGGTTTTTTTAGGAAAAATTTGTACGCCCCCAAAAGTATGCACCAGTTTTTTTCATTTGCTAAAGTTGCTTTCTGCTGATTTCTGTTCGCCTAGTACCTCGATTGGAAATTTCTTTGTTTTCGCTCTTCACGTCGGCCTTAATTGTCATTTTTTCTTTGGCTATATCTCGACTGTTTATGGGCAGATCGGGGCGTGGCATGCCTTTTCGTGATCGGGAGAGTCCTGCCAATCGATTGGCATCAGAAAAAAGGACATCCATGTCCTCACGATTTTCGCCAAAAATCATGATGTAACCATCATCGAATTTGCCAAAAATCGGCCTCATTTTCGAAGTCGAGATTTTGATGCCGATCGACAGTCTAGATCCCCACGATCCTGGGAGACTAGGTCCTTCACCGATCTGGCCCTATTTGCCCGAGATATAGCCTTCCAAAGATTGGGATTTACACATCGTGGAAATACCGGTTTTTTCTGTACGCTATATATCGACTGTTTATGGGACGATCTGGGCGTGGCATGCCTTTTTGTGATTGGGAGAGTCCTACCAATCGATTGGCAATTTTGGTATCGGAAAGATCTCCTTGATCGAGCGCTGGTTGTACATGATCTCTGCAGAGCAGGCGACGGTGATGAAAAGCTAAAAAAGCACCCCAGATAAGTTCCCAAGAAAAGGCATGCAGTGTATTTCCAGCATTTATTCGCACTGATTTACACATTTGTTTGGTTCTAAAACACTAGCGGATTTAACTTAAGATACTGTCTTAGATATACATTCATCAGATGGTAGATTTTCCTCACGCATTTGCACACGAAGTAAAAGGAGCTCTGAAATGGAATTGCTAGGATTAGGATTGCGAAGAGACGCTGTCTATGAACACACTTACCAGATTCTCGTTCTGGGGCATTCAGCGCTTGCAGAGGATTGCCAGGTGGCATGGGACCTTCCTCCGTAAAAGCAAATGAATAAAAGGTAACAAAATGTGAAAGATATACATTTATGTTTATGTCATGGCCTTTAACTTCAGTTCGATAAACATCCGTATCTGATTTCGTAGCCATTTGTGGCTCCACACAATGGCCTAAATATTTCGGAAACCACCTTTCAAAATTCTTTGGTTTTTGTAATCTTGGGTGCATTCCTTGACTTTTCCCCTCTTTAAGATGGACTAGGGGTTTTTGAAATTTGACACCTAATTTTCTGAAGCTCAAAACATGGCCTTGAAAGCCCAGAGATCCGCGACGTCTGTCAGCTTCGCCCAGCCGAAACAGGGACGACGAGCCTCTGCCGGTCCGGATGAGATCAACAACACTTACATCAAGCAGATCGTGAACGACTGGCGGAACTCCGTGCGGGAACGACGTTTTACTACGGACTTGGACACTTCGGAGACGTCCTCCGCGACGGATCTGCCCAGGGCCAACTCGAAGAAATCCATTACGACTACCAGTATCATTCGCCCGAGCATCCAGAGACCGCAGCTGCTGCGCAATTACAGCAAACCTGTGGATATCGAGCACGGAAAGGGTTCCGCCGAGGCAGATCGTATAGTCGTCGCAGAGGGCATTGACCTATACATCCACCAACCCATCAAGGTCGGGTTCTCCAAGCCATTACAAGCCCCCAAAATTATTTGAAATGATTAAGGAATCACCTGCCATCCTCTGGATGCCAGAACTGAATAAAGATCTTCCAAAGGTGCCACCGAGTCCTCTTTCTGTAACTGTCTTCAAATATACGACTACTTTATCATTTGTCACTAGACAACCATATTTTAGGCTCACATTTCTATAGCTGTAACCTTTGTTATTAATCGAATTTAGTATATCCGTTTAATGTACTCGAGAAACTAGAAAAAGTTATACTGGCAGACAGTTCAATCGTCGGGAAAACACATGTGGGAGTAATTTTCTACTGGTGGACTCTTAATTCGAGAAGATAATCTTTTTGGATTCAATAAATCCAATCCCTTCCTTGATTTTGGTTTATTTTTAAATTCAAGATTATTACTTTAATGACAGTTGACTGACCATTGCCACCGATAGATGGCTCTGTAAAGTGTGACGACTGTGAGATGGCGCTACATATGTACAATATCCGACTAAGTGATGGCGCCACACACGGTGTAAATATCGATATCGATTCAAAGCCAAAACCAGCTGATTGAAGCCAGGGGTGCAGTGCACGATAGCCGCCGTTGAAAATTTAAAATTATAATTTCTCGCCATTAAAACTAGTTAAAAACATGAGTTAATAATCAGTTGCGGTGTCAATTCAAATGCCTCGTTTGAATTGGAGGTGGCTGAGTCCTCATCAGCATGTTGGCCGTGAGCAGGTAAGACCAACGGAAGCGATTCAGATAGTTCTCAACGCCTTTACTGATGAATAGATCGGTGGAGATCGCAGAAAGAAGAACATCGGCACTCGTCGTAGTACTCCATTTTACACTTGCAATAATGTTCGCGTTTTATTATTGTCGCATTACCAATCTAAACTTGAACTAGTTAGTCATATACACTAAATACGCATATATCCAACTATACAATAGAGCTTTGCTTAGTGCTTAGGGACTTAGGGACTTAGGGTCTACAACTAGAGCTTTACAATTTTACTCGCACATTCATGCTGCATGCTGCATGCTGCAAGCGTTGGCATGACGATGCATGGCGTTACATGGCGCTGCAGGGTGGAGCTTAGGCTTAAAACATTTACAGATACACTTATGGGATAGAGCAGCCTTATCCTTATACTCGCACTATGTCCTAAACGTAGATAAGTATGTGTTTGCTTGTTGGTTGCTGTGTGTAGCACTCGTTGGCTCCTTTTGGGGGGCGTTAAGGATCCGTCACAGTTTTGGCATGGCTTTTACAGATACAGATACGGTTACAGTTACAGATACAGATACGGATACGCGTACGGATAGAGTAGAGTGTACATAAGTTAGATAGAAGTAGAGAAGTGCTTTTGATTTGAGTCTTTAGGATGCATTGAAATGCGTAAAAATTGTGTGTGTGTGTGTGTGTGTGTGTGTGTGTGTCTCTGAGGTAACAACAAAGTACAAAAGTCATCAAAATATACACGATATTCATGGGTAAAAAACTAAATTAGGCGCTTAATTGGCGATTACCAACTAATAATAATTATAATCATAATAGTAGTAATAGTAATATTGAAATACATTCATACAGTAAACAACTAACAAAGAGCACTTGTGCACATTTATATTCATGATGATGCCACTCTCGCCTCTTGTTATGGATGTTATTTATGATAATTTATAATGCGCACACATTCGCTCACCACCACACACCCACGGGGGTCATATTTACATAACAGACACACGCGCACACATGCATGCGCTGGATAACTGTATTCATATATCGTATATCGTACAACTTCCAACTTCCAACTGACAACTGCAGTTGTGACATTAATTAGCTGCAATTGCAATTGCAATTGCAATAGCAATGCAAAAAAAGCAAAAAACAAAACAAAAAAAAATTAAAGATTTATGCATTTCAAAAGCGCGACTAATTATGTTACTTTTTTTGTCATCTTATATTTAATGGTTGTTTTTGTTTGCCGTCAGTTGTGGCGTCGACGGCGCTGCCAACTGGCGCCGCTGTCCTCGTGGCTGTGGCTGTTGCTGCTGCTGCTGCTGCTCTCTTGTGGTGCCGCCACCGCCGCTGCCGCCGCCGCCGCCGCCAGGTGCAGCCAATGCAACTGTTTCCTGAGTTTTGCCCGCATTTTGCGATACTTTATGCCTCCTGCGCCGCTGCCGACTCCATCAGCGCCTCCTCCGGCTCCGGCTCCGGCTCCTCCTCCGCCAAACAGCTGCTATCACGTGCCCGTCGACAAGTCCTCTTTGAGCCACTGAGGAATGGGCCTAGAGCCGAGCTTCTTCAGCAGCTTCACCAGCGCCGTATTGTGATTCAGATAGTATCTGCAAAAGGGAAAACGGAAAAACGGGAAAACCATTGGCTGGATGAGTGGGGGGTAGCATGCCAGGCGGAGAGAAGCTTTCAAACGAATTAGAATTTCAAATGGCGCGGCTTGTCTCTTACGCGAATATGCAGATCAGATCGGGCTCCCATCTCTTGTCAGAAGGGTTTTCTCGTATATTTTATTGGAGTTTCTTTTGCGGCAGATTGTGGCCGGAAACCATATTTGTTTGCCTCAGAAGACTCCAGGGACAGGTCGTGGGAATCTCCCAACTTGAAGCATATCCTCTATTCATGGTCGTCGACTCGAACAGCTACTCCTGCGTCATGCAGCTGCGCCCCCCGGTCGGTCTCCCCCACCGATACACCCTCCATAAGCCTTCCTAAGACTCTTCGCCCAGTTCCCATACAAATCGACCTCACATTTCATCCGCTTACGCGTTGAACTATTATTCCACTTCGACCAGCACCTCCTGCTGCTGCCGGGATGTACATACATATATATTCCCCCATTTAGTGGCGTTGAATGCCTCACAAAGTAGTTCATCTGTCCATCGCTTCCTCTGGCGGGCGGGCTGGCTGGCATGTTGTCGCCCCAGAAGTGTCCTTCTCCGTGTGCCTTCAGCAAATCGTTTCCCTTGTCAGCTGACAGCTGGCACACCGAAATCGCAGTACAGCAAAGTGCACTTTTAGCGGCCGCAAAGTGCCACATTTCACATCCCCCAAAACCATCCTCACACGAACAGGACAAAAAAAGGACGGAGCCAGAGCCAGGGCCAGAGCCAGGGCCAGAGCCAGAGCCCGAGCCACCCATATATGTTCATTAATCCTTCACTCAAAGCAGCAGCATCGCAGCAGCATCCTTTGCCATTCTGCTGTCTGCCCCAAATCACTCCTCACACCTACTATGCTACTACCTATAGGAAAAGGAATAAGGACGCCCACAGCCCACAGCCCACACCTTTTGTGCCGTGACTTTTTTCTTCTCCTGTCGAATGGGGCGGAGGGAGGTGGGGGTTTTTTTGCCATTTTACTCACCGCTGCAACAGCTTGCCGCTGCGCTCATCCATCGTCGGGTACTGGCGTCCCTTCGATTTGCCGAGGCATTTATTGCGCTTCTCGTTGAGCGCCTGGCAGTAGAAGCCCTTCTTCACGTCGTAGCGCAGGTGATTTGAATAATCGAGCAGCGGCTGGACTTTGAGGAACCGCTGCAGATCGTTCATCACGTCGATGGGGTTGAGCCGGAGCTGGTCCCCGTCGATGATGTGCACCTGCTGGGCGGGGTAGTAGGCCAGCCAGTGCTCCAAGTGCTGGGCGTACTTCCCGGGATTGAGGCAGCGATTCCGCAGATCCTTGAGGGCCCTCGGTGCCGAGTCGCTTGCCGTTATGACCTACCGAATCGGAACGAAACGAAACGAGACGAAAGTGGGAGAAAGAAGAATCGGAATCAGTTAGAGCTAGGAGAACACAACACATGTGGAATGTGGCATGTGGCATGTGCCTCCAATGTGTCAGTGTTTTTGTGGGTGCAAATAGAAATGCAATCCGCAATCCGCAATCCGCAATCCGCAATTGGAATTCAAATGAAATGTACTCGAACTTGCAGCACCCCAGCAGGGGCATGCAGCACCAGAACACCATCACCCCAGCACACCATCACTCCAGCAGGGGCATGCAGCTTGTTGTTTGCCTTCGAAGCTCGAAATTAAAACCGAAAATTTCATTCATTTTCCTTGTGTCGATTTGTTGTGTTTTCCTTTTTGAGGTCAACCCGGAATGCACGTCTGGGTGGGTGTTTGTTCTGGGGATTTGCTGATGGATTTCCAATCACTTCATGAGGCTAGTGGGGGCGGTGTCCCAGGGTCCCAGGAGGGACAAGGACAAGGACAAGGACTTGCCTTACCTGATAGAAACTATAATTATTGGCTATCACATCGCCGTGCGCCCGCTGGTGCTGGTACCAGGAGTAGGCCCGCTTGGCCGGCGATATCAGGATCGTCACGATCTTCGCGTGCGGCAGGAGGGCGTGCGTCCGCTTGGGCACCGCCTCGCCGTCGAAGTACGTGGCGCTCTTCTCGAACATGTAGCGCGGGCTGCCCGCCTGCGTGGGCATCGGGGAGGGGGAGCTGCTGTTGCTGGGCGGCAGCGAAAGGGCCTCGCCGGAGGGGAAGAAGTCCATGTACCAGTCGAGGCCGCGGTAGTAGTTGTTGCCGTTGAAGAACTGCACCTCCTCGAAGGTGTCCGGGGAGGCGATGTTGCTCGCGATGCTGCCGTGCATCGAGAGGAATGTGTAGAGGGCGGTGGTGCCCGTCTTCTGGGGCCCGATCACCAGGAACTTCGGCAGCGAGTCGCAGTTCTTGGTCTTCGACCAGATCTTCTTGTGGCGCGCGTCGTCGCAGGGATTGCCCCAGACGGGGTCCACCTCCTCGGGGTGCAGCTGGAAGTACATCTCCGCCAGCTGGATGGGCGGCGCGGAGGCCAGCTTGAGGTTCGTCCAGCACTGCAGGAACTTGATCACCGATTGGAATGTGTAGAGGGCCAGCCGATCCGAGCCGTAGTTCGACATGTGCGTCATGAAGATGTTGATCGGGTTGTAGACGATCGTCTGGAAGAGCTCTCCGCCCTGGATCGACTCGTCCAGCTTGTCCCTGCCGCCCGGGTACCGGTCGATGTACATCGTGTGGGTGAACAGGCCGCACGTCTGCCGCGGCAGCACCATTATGTTCCTGTGGATGAAGCCGCGCCGCAGTCGCGCCGGCCGCAGGTGGGGGTACTCCTCGGTGGAGGTGACCTTCACGTTCCACACCTTCTTCCAGGCCACGTAGAGCAGCTCGTGGGCGGGGTACACGCCCGAGTGGTGCGGCGAGATCGAGTACCCCGAGCTGGTGGGTATGTTGTGGTCCACCGCGAAGGCGTAGTTCAGGTGCATCTCGGCCATCAGCAGCGTGAGGTTGTCGTACAGGTGCGGCTGCTGGTGCTTCCACATGTGCGAGAACCAGTTGAACTCCTGGACGTTCTGCAGCAGGAAGTCGTCGCCGAGGTTCTCCTCGCGCGTCCCGTGGTGGTAGTACTTCCCGGAGAAGCCCAGGTTGAACTTGAAGCCCGGCACCATGGCCGCGATGTTCTTCTGCGTGGCCACCAGGGCGCGCACGTCGTCGGGCCGCAGGCGCGTGCCCTTCTCCCCCACGAAGATGTCGTCGATGTCCACGAGGATCATCCGCTCCAGGTTGAGGCTCAGCTGGCCGTGGCTCAGGTAGCTGAGCGAGTCGAGGAACACCAGGCGGTGCAGCCAGAAGCGCAGGCTGCTGCCGAAGAGCACCCTCTGGATGCCGTCCAGGTGGCCGCGGTCCTGCAGCACCGTCGTGAGTGGCAGCTGCACCTGCCCCACACTGTCCGCCGGGTACTCGTTCGTGTTGCGCTGGGCCCACTCGACGGGCTCGTAGGTACTGTGGTTGTGCTGGAACACCGCCCAGTCGTCGCCGGGCAGGGCTCCCCAGGCGGTCTCGCCCGCCCGCGTCAGCCGCAGGACCGAGGATCCCGGGTTCAGGCTCGCGTCCCGCAGCCGCAGGTTCGTGTTCACGAACAGCGGGAAGTCCCGCAGCTGGGCCCCCACCAAGGTCTCCTCGCTGGGACTGAGGAAGCCCACTATCCCCACGTCGTACTCGCGGCAGTACTTGTCCAGCAGCTCCCGATTCCACTTGTCCATGTTGAGGTACTTGTCCAGGTTCTCGAACACAATCACGCCGTAGCGTCCTTTGTCGAGGTTCGTGAGCACCGGCAGGCTCTTGCCGGCCACCTCGATTTTGTATCTGCAGAAGAGAGAGAGGAAGGATGCGAGTTTAGCAATCGTTCGATGGGTGTATCTATCTGTGGGAGGTATCTGCGACAACTACAATTCCCAAGGCTCACAGTCCCTCCTTACAAGCTTCTCGTTCCCCTTCCACGCGTTGCCCGATTTGCTTCTGAGCGCCGAACGACAGCCTCCTCTTCAAAGGGTCTTTGCAAGAGAGAGCTGTGCTCGTGTGTGCGCTCGCCGATCAGTAAGAAACAGAGAGCACGAGAGCAAGATGAACGACGTCGTCCCCACATCGTCTCTCTAGCGAGGACCATCCGAACGTTTGCCGTCTCTTTCCAGCGCTTGTACGAGAGAGCGTGGATGGTCCTCAGCACCGCGGACTACGTCACCTCATTACTTATTCACCTTTCGGTGAGCAGATAGCAAGGGGAAATTGGTTGAGCATATGTTTCGAGCTCTGCTAAGACCCTCATTGCTTCCAATGACATCCAATTGCTCTCACATGCATTCCCAACGGTAACAAATCTACGCTCAATAACTGTCAAAACCGCACAAAACAGAAAGAGAGAAGGAGAAAGGAGAGCGAGAGAGATGGCAAGAGAATGAAGCTGTCAAACGTGTGACATTCATTGAGAGTGCGGGCAAATGAGACGCTGCATATCCTCTCTCTCCTCCCACTCCCACTCCGACTCCCACTCCCTTTCGCTTTGAGAACATTGCACAGAGCTGCATCTGACATCTGGCTGTCAGAAGCTGTTTGCCATGACACACACGCACATCGCACGTCCCCCCCAGGGGGGGTAGGGTGGAGTGGGGAGTGGGGGGGTGCTTTGTCGTGTTTGTTTTTCTTTCAAGAATAGATTGTTCTGTCACAAACGGAGAATGAATGGGAGCATCCGATACGCTCATTCATTCGTCCATTCATGCATTCATTCATTCATTCATTCATTCAATATAGTTTAAATCCCAGTGCCGTGGCTGACTTTAACAGCTGCCATGATTTACAGCGAAACGAACCATTTTGGGCATTCATTAATATTCATATTTCACTCACCTATGCCGCCACACACACACACACACAGGTAGCATGCCACGCTTTGTGGCATATTCATTTGCAATTTGCAAGTGGCCCTCAGCGGAAAAAACCTCGGCAATAATTACATTGAGCGAGAGAGAATGCTGCATAAATTTTCGATGGAATGGAATGGCCTTATAAATAAAATCAATTTCAATTTCAATATTATTATTATTATTATTTCTGTTTCTGTTTCTCTTTCTCCAGCGAGTGCTTCCCGTGCCCCTAAAATGTAGCCTCCCCCCGTAGCCCCTGAATGCTTTGGCTCGTGCGTAAATATTTTGCATAAATATTAAAATATTTCCACTGATATGGAATTTCCAATTGATTGAATTTCATGTCTGACCCCAGCCCTCTCCCCCCCCTGCCCCTGCCCCTGTCCTGCCCTGCCCTGTCCTGCCTGTTGTGTCTATGGATACATTGCACCCACACCCACACACACACACACACACAAACAGGATGCTGTGTAGACCGTATAGACCATGTTGTGCACACGAGTGTGTGTGTGCCAAATGTCGGTTTCTGGCTTTGGGTTTTTGCCCACCGCCAACATCCTGCCATGCAGCCTGCATCCTGCATCCTCTGCATCCTGTATACCCGCCATTTAGCGGACTTTAAAGCTAAACAAAAACCGAAACCCAAAACCCAAAACCGATGCCAAAAACCAAAATTCAGCAATCAGAATCGGGACCCCCCACCACCACCACCCACCACCCTCTCGTCCCCATCCAACCAAACAACAAAAAACAGCATTCAATATGCCAAACGGCGATTCATCCGCGTGCCCCCCCTGTGGCCCCCCTCTCCCCCGCGCTTAACCGAATCGAAGCGGAATGCTAAAAAATAAATAGCGGAAGGGGAGGTTACCTATACGCTTACGATACGTAACGCAACGTAAGCGTAACGTAACGTGGTATAGCCGCTGGCATTGTAAGCATTTTTTGCCTCTGCCGCTGCCGAAGCCTCCGCGCGAAGCATATTAAAAATATTTGCAGCATGCCCCCCCCCCCCCCCCACACCCGCACTCCATCGAATCCTGCAGCTGCAGCTGCATATAAAAGTCATAAAGCAAAACAGTTTATATGTGTCCGACTGCAGCAGCGGCAGCAACAGCTCCTGGGTGCCCCCTGGATGCCCCCCTGGTTGCGGGATGTGGCGGGGGGGGGGGGGTGGAATATTATTGATAGTTTTGTGCGATGGGCCTGACAAAAAACGGAATGACTTTTGGCCTTCCACCAAAGCCCCTCCCCTCCCCGTCTTTTCCCGAGTTATGAGAGCTGACTGGCAGTCGGAGGGGGCAGGGGGCGGGAGGCAGGCAGGGAGGCAACGAAAAAGGTGAGGCTGCTGGGTTGAGTGGTGGTTGGGGGGGGGCGTTGGGGGTAAAACGCTGACATACTGCATGCATTGCATATTTTATGGCGCGTCAACACGAGACCATGTGTCACCCCTTGGCGTGGAGGCAGGACGGGAGCCATGTGGGGGGGGTGGGGCGGGGGTCATGCCAGAAAGCCCCATCAAAAATGGTCATTTATGTTGCGCGCCAGGATATTGAAAAATCGCACGCTCAACGACAGCTTCTGGACAATGTATAAGAACAACAAAAGGCAGGCAGCAGGCAGCAGCCAGCAGCAGGAGGCAAATACTATAAAGGACATGGACATGCATGTTCATGCATGGCAAAGAGACGGGCGGAGAGCGAGAGAGCGAGTCGACGGGGCGATACCCTGGGCAGAGGAGATCCATGGGGCCAGCTATAGGGATTGGGGGTGATTGAGGGGACTAGGGGGGGAGATATTTGGGTACTTTTCACTTCAATCGAAGGCTGAAGTATTTGGAATGGCATTAATGGTGCTTTATACCTTGGAAGCCCCTCCCAAAACCGTTTCCTTTCTCAATTGTCCCTCTTTATCGCAGGATCCCCAGCACCAGTTATTTCCACAAATGGTTATTCGTCTTCATTTGTGGCAATATGATATGAAAATACGTATTTTTGTAAAAGAAATATTTATATCCCTGAAATGTGCTGCATTTCCGTGAATTACTTTCATCCTTTCGATTGAATATTGCATCCAAACACACAATTCCATGGCAACGGCAAAGCCACTGCCCAGTCCATCAGGCCCAACCACCCACTCCGTCCCCTCCACCCACACCCTTTCATGCAAATGATCCGCAGAGCAGCGTGACGAATTTTCATTGCATACTTTTCAGGTGTTCAAGAAGGACAGCCCTGTGGGAGGAGGGCAGGGGAGGGGGAAAGGGAGGGGTGAGCTGCGAAAGAGCTTTAAAGTGAAGTCCTCGACTAAGAGCATTAATTAAAGCGTTTTATCTGCACAAAATGTTTGTTTAATTAACTATATAATGACACTCTTTGCCTTTGTCTTCCCTTTCCTTCCCGTTCCTTCCTGTTCCTTCACTCTCCGATTACACTTACACATGTGCGTGTGTGCGTGTGTGCGTGTGTGTGTGTGTGTTGTTATTTGAAATTTAATTGCCAGAGAAAGACCCAGAGAAAGGGGCGACACAGCGGGCGGCGCGACGTAGGTCGGAAGTTCATTTACAGGCCCGCAGAGGATTTGTTTTAAAAACCCATTACCGGGTATTACTTGCAAGTAAATAAATGTTTGGTTTTTTCTCACACGTCGTACAGCCGTACAGCCGTACACGCCGTACACGCCGTACACTCGTACACCCCGTACACTCGTACGTAGACTTATGCCAGTGAGTGTCGGAGTCTCGGAGTCTCGGAGTCCCGGAGTGTCGGGCGCTCATTTGTTTGCATTTGTATGGGGTGTTAAATTATCCCCGGGATAAACGTAAAACGCAAAACTGCAAATGCCGGCGTTAGCGACTGAGCGAGCGACTGGGCTTGTTGCTCCTTTCTCCTTTCTCCATTCCCCAGTCCCCTTCCCCATCTCTTGGTTTGCTGTTCGGAATACCCTTTTCCGGCGGGTTTGAGGAGCTGTCGGTTAGGCAGGGAGCAACGGACTTCCGACACTCAAGAGCAATGAAAACGCTCAGAGAATATCGCGTGTCCGATTCCCCCATATTTCGCATTCAAATACCGCTTTACATGTCCATCCATCCATCCATCTAAAATGGGAACAAAGCCTTTGTTTACAGCTACAAATAATAGTTACAGCAGCATAATATGCGAAGGGAAGCCCTATATCATATGATCATAGGTTTGCCAGGCTCCGTTTTCCACTTTCGCACTTCTCCACTTTGCGATTTACTTTTGTAAACGCCAAAACTGGTGCTCCCGATATCGCAAAACGCAGAAGTTAAGAGCAAAAAGACCATCAAGTGGCTGGCACGCGCGAATCCCAGCCAGGAACGTAGAAACGACCGAGGGGCGCAGCCGCATGACGTGCAGTGTTGCAGGAACACCAAAAAGAATCCAGATTGCAATAATTACAAAAAAACAGATGACTCTTGGATGCACAAACATGGAATAGTTCTTTGTTTAAGCCCACCTCAAACTCTGCTTTGAAATAATTGGTTCAATGCAGCAGCACTTTGCCTTTTCGTGCCAACAGCTGACGCAGCCCGCTTTGGTTATCGGCACATCGCATGTTGCTCATTACAGGAGATTTTGTGCGCCTAACAGCACCGAATTCTGCGCCTAACAGGAGCACCTAGAGGCGAAAACGAAACGTTTGATTGCTTTATGGCCTGATTGAAACTCCGAAGGGGATATGTTTTTGGGAAGAACTTCTTTCGGAATTGTCTTGGCTAAATATGATCCAAAGTTAAGCCGAATTGGAGGACTGCACCACACAGATGCTGTTAGATGGATGGCTATAATCGTGCTTGAGATTACACACGTCCTTCAGGGTATCCTCCAGGGTCTCCATAGTCCCACTCACAGGATCTATGTTTCCTTGCTAGTTCCTGCTGTAGTTGTAGCATGTTTCCTGCTACTTTCTCTCTGTCTG